ACAGAAGGGACAAGCTGGCGGTGTCAGCAGTAGAGTGGGCTCCTACAGAAGGGACAAGCTGGCGGTGTCAGCAGTAGAGTGGGTACCTACAGAAGGGACAAGCTGGCGGTGTCAGCAGTAGAGTGGGTACCTACAGAAGGGACAAGCTGGCGGTGTCAGCAGTAGAGTGGGCTCCTACAGAAGGGACAAGCTGGCGGTGTCAGCAGTAGAGTGGGTACCTACAGAAGGGACAAGCTGGCGGTGTCAGCAGTAGAGTGGGTACCTACAGAAGGGACAAGCTGGCGGTGTCAGCAGTAGAGTGGGCTCCTACAGAAGGGACAAGCTGGCGGTGTCAGCAGTAGAGTGGGCTCCTACAGAAGGGACAAGCTGGCGGTGTCAGCAGTAGAGTGGGTACCTACAGAAGGGACAAGCTGGCGGTGTCAGCAGTAGAGTGGGCTCCTACAGAAGGGACAAGCTGGCGGTGTCAGCAGTAGAGTGGGCTCCTACAGAAGGGACAAGCTGGCGGTGTCAGCAGTAGAGTGGGCTCCTACAGAAGGGACAAGCTGGCGGTGTCAGCAGTAGAGTGGGCACCTACAGAAGGGACAAGCTGGCGGTGTCAGCAGTAGAGTGGGCTCCTACAGAAGGGACAAGCTGGCGGTGTCAGCAGTAGAGTGGGCTCCTACAGAAGGGACAAGCTGGCGGTGTCAGCAGTAGAGTGGGCACCTACAGAAGGGACAAGCTGGCGGTGTCAGCAGTAGAGTGGGCTCCTACAGAAGGGACAAGCTGGCGGTGTCAGCAGTAGAGTGGGCTCCTACAGAAGGGACAAGCTGGCGGTGTCAGCAGTAGAGTGGGCACCTACAGAAGGGACAAGCTGGCGGTGTCAGCAGTAGAGTGGGCTCCTACAGAAGGGACAAGCTGGCGGTGTCAGCAGTAGAGTGGGCTCCTACAGAAGGGACAAGCTGGCGGTGTCAGCAGTAGAGTGGGCTCCTACAGAAGGGACAAGCTGGCGGTGTCAGCAGTAGAGTGGGCTCCTACAGAAGGGACAAGCTGGCGGTGTCAGCAGTAGAGTGGGCACCTACAGAAGGGACAAGCTGGCGGTGTCAGCAGTAGAGTGGGCACCTACAGAAGGGACAAGCTGGCGGTGTCAGCAGTAGAGTGGGCACCTACAGAAGGGACAAGCTGGCGGTGTCAGCAGTAGAGTGGGCACCTACAGAAGGGCAAGCTGGCGGTGTCAGCAGTAGAGTGGGCTCCTACAGAAGGGACAAGCTGGCGGTGTCAGCAGTAGAGTGGGCTCCTACAGAAGGGACAAGCTGGCGGTGTCAGCAGTAGAGTGGGCACCTACAGAAGGGACAAGCTGGCGGTGTCAGCAGTAGAGTGGGCACCTACAGAAGGGACAAGCTGGTGGTGTCAGCAGTAGAGCGGGCATATACAGAAGGGACAAGCTGGTGGTGACAGCAGTAGAGCGGGCATATACAGAAGGGACAAGCTGGTGGTGTCAGCAGTAGAGTGGGCATATACAGAAGGGACAAGCTGACAATGCATACATGTCATGGCAACAAAATCTAGTTGTATAATATCACCAAAAGGGCCAGTCACATGACTCAATGATGCAAAGAAGATGCCTACATTATAATTTACAATTTGGATTATAGATTAGAAACATAAGGTAACAACTTTTAATTTTGTAATTGATGTGTTATGTTTCTAAGTTACCTACATGTATCACAATGCCAATATATGATGAAAGAGAGTAGTTGGTCTCTACATATACAATAGAACCCCTCTCTAAAGGACACCTAGTTTCTGAACAAAAATGTCCTTTAGGGAGAGGTGTCCTCCTATTGAATAGTTGCTAATTAGTAAAGCTGGTATTTTGTGCTAAAAAATCTGTCCTTTATAGAGCAGTGTCTTCTAGAGTGAGTGTCCTCTCATGGAGGTTATTCTACTGTATACATATTACAAGTACCAGAACCATTTTTTTGTTGCCTGTTACAGGTTTTGGACTAAGTGAGTAAATCATGCGATAGAGAGCAAGGTAAATTTTATAAAGTTACTTCACCAGAAGAGGACCACAGTTTCAAGGTGTGTAGAAATCAGCTTCCTATATTAATTAGCATCATTTGATTAATGCCTTTTTATTTGTATGCAATGTCTAGCTCCTGTGTGGGAGTTGGGAGAGCAAGAGCTCAAGTTGGTTCTATTTTATAACAAAGTTGTATCTCAAAACTTCAAATAAAAAATAAAACTTAAATTTTATTGTGGAACTACTAATAACTACTTTTTCCAAAGGAATTCCAGTTAATTATAACTGATTATATTATACAAATATGTTCTTAAAAGCTTTTTAAAATTGTTTCCAAAATTCTGAATGAACCATGAATCCCCAGGTGAAAACCATGCAACCTATTTCTCCAGTGTTCTGCTGTCCTAAAAACAAATAATGGGAAGGTCTCACTGGGCAAGGCTCAATGATCCATCACACAAGGGGAAAATGTTGCATGATACAATTGCCCCATGGGGATGTTGAAAAATGTGGTTAAGTTATACCAACATGGGTCTTTGTGCCTTAAACACATGTTATATCTATTATCATACATGTCAATTTCTTCTGTCCATAATTTACCATTATGCTAATTATTCCTCCCGACTTTGCTTAGTTATGCAAAATCCCTATAAAAAGTTTTTAAAATTCTAATTTTTGAATATGTAAATAGTCCCATCATTATATAGTACCCGATGTGCCATTGTTCACTTATCTCCTGTAGAAGGGCCGGTCAGCCCGAAAGCTTGAGCGATTTAAAATAAAGCTTCCTACAAAAGACACTCGTCCCATGATTCTCGTATATGTTTTCTTAAACACATGTGTTAAGTCCTAAGACCCTTTCTCCCTTGGGAATGGTAAGGCAAAATTTGGATTATAGATTATAAACACAAGGTAATAAGACCAAATCCAAATAAATAAATAGTGCGTGACATTTTGGTAACAGCATTGTTACCGAAACGTCAAACACTTTTTATTTGGATTTGGTCTTATTACCTTGTGCTCCTTTGGGAATGTCAATCGCTCTCTTTTATATGGTCTGGTAAGTTGTCTTCCATGTACCAGAGCATTTAGTGAACCAGGCAGCATTCACTCCACCATGACAGTCAACAATCACTGTACTTGGAGAATGAAAGGTGGTGGACAAGTTGTGTGGTGGACATCAACAACAGTTCAATTTATATTAAAAAAAACTAAAAGTGCAATAACATTTATTTCATTTGAGCATTTGTCATTTTTGCATGTCTTAAATAAAATTTTCATGTACAAACATTTTATCTACAGATTCAATATCTACAGGGGGAGGGGACTTTGAAAGCTGCAACACACAATAGGGAGTTAGCAAGATAGGTTCTACTTTACATACATATATGCCCAATAATATGACAAGTTGGCTAGTAGAGAAAGATGGAACAATTTAAATGTAGTCAACTCCCATTATAAATCTGTAATCCTAATTAACAAGTTTAATTTGAAAAAAAAAACACAAAAAGTAACAATTCCAAGTGAATAAATGATAATTCAGTAACAACATTGCTACCATCTTGAAACAAAAGTAATGAATGGATGGATTAAGTACTTTTGAAGCCAGAAACAATGCTGTTACCAAAACATCACATATACAGTCTAACCTCTTTAATTTGACACCCCAAGGGATCATAGCTTTCAGATGAATTAAAGTGAGATGATTTCATCACAATTTTCACTGCTAGTGGCCATTTTTCTAGGATAATCTATATTAATAAAAAGCAAATTTCATAAGTGGGCATCACTAAAAACTTTTGTTACAATGCATCAATTTCGACCAAATTTTCAACATTTATGTAAAACGAGATGGAGCAGGTTTTGCTTAACATCAAAATATTTTTCCTAACTTTAACATACATAACTTTGCTGTTATCGATAAAATACAAAAAAATTCAACAGAGTTAAAGTGTTTACACTTTCAAAAGTGTTTACACTTTTGCGCTTCTTGGAAAATTAGTTTTAATCTTTTTTATATATATTTTAATAACTTTTATACATGGTAAGATACTTTTATTTCATAGTTTTCATATTTTATACCAAAGAAAGTCGAAGCCTTACTTGATGAGATCAATTTTATTTTTTAGATAAATTTTTAGGCTTTTCAAAAGTGTTTACACTTTTGCGCTTCTTGGAAAATTAGTTTTAATCTTTTTTATATATATTTTAATAACTTTTATAAATGGTAAGAAACTTTTATTTTATAGTTTTCATATTTTATACCAAAAAAAGTTGAAGCCTTACTTGATGAGATCAATTTTATATTTTAGATAAATTTTTAGGCTAATTTTAATTCATTTCTTTTTTATTTTATATACAGATTATATATGCTATTTCTAACTTACGTGGTTAGTATTTTTATAAGACTAAGGTTATTTATATTATTTTTTACAAAAAAGATTGAAATTTCATTAATGTGCTCAATTTTATGTCTTTTTGAGGACATTAACAAAATTTTAATTAATTGCTTTGATATTTTAAAAACAGATTATTTATGGTGTTTTCCACTTATATGGGTTGTTTGTAAAAAAAATTTGGGTTATTTCTATTTTTTTTCACTAAAAAGCTTGAAATTTCATTAATGTGCTCAATTTTATGTCTTTTTTGAGGACCTTAACAAAATTTTTATTAATTGCTTAGATATTTTAAAAGTAGATTATTTATGGTGTTTTCCACATATATGGGTTGTTTTGTAAACAAATTTTGGGTTATTTCTATTTTTTTTTCACTAAGATGCAAGATATTTTATTGATATGTTTATGTGATTGTCATTATGAGGCCCTTCTCAAATATTTCTTAAGAAATTTTTATTTAATTATTTAGATCTTTCAAATACAAATTATTTGTGGTATTTATAACATATAGGTGTTGGGTTTTTTTAAAATATTTGGGTTTTTTTATTATTAATCGCAAAAAAGAGCAAGCAATTTCATTGTGTTCAATTATGGGTCATTTTGAGGTCCTTTTTTAAATTTTCTTATGGAATTTTTTAATTATTGCTTTGATCTTTTAAATACAGTTTATTTATTATATTTTCTACATATATGGGTTGTATCTAAAAAATAGGTTATTTATATTTTTAAATAAGCAAGGGATTTCTTTTACGGATTCATTTATTTGATTAAATATTTTATATTTAAATTATTTATATATATATATTTTTTTAACATATAGGGGTTGTATTTTGTATTTTAGAAAATTATTTCTATTTTTTACCTCAAAAAAAGCATGCTTTTTCATTGCCGTATCCAGCGGTTGGTCTATTTTTGAAGCTTTTTAATGATAACTGGTTTTGTACATTAATTTTTTGGTAATATAATATTATGATTTTAGTTTTTTAAAATCTTTTTAACATATATGAAGGTTATTTTGAATAAAAAATTTAAAAATTTTGATTTTTACCCCAAAAAGACAGGAAATTTTTATGCTTTGTTTAGAAATTGCTGGTTTTGAAGCTTTTGTTATTAATCTCAATCTAAATTTTTTTTCAGAATATGCCTCGCCACAGCCGACGTTTACTTGGTAGGAATACGGCTGCTTCCAGGAGATATAGGAATGCTAGAGCTATTGAGACACCACTTCAAAGTGAGACGCGTCGTGCGCTTCGCCGTCTTAGGTATTCTGAAGCCCGCGTCGCAGCTACACAAACTATGCAAGTTCCTGTTCAGCGTATTCAGCTTTGGACTCATAAGCCGTTTTCAGGTTTGCAGTATAATGCCCATATTGATTATAAAGCTGATTCATCTGTCGATATAGGCCAAATGTCTCGGGTATGCCAGTTTTGCTCTGCTTTGAGATTTAAAGATGAACCCTTTGGCCTCTGTTGTAAACAAGGTAGAGTTTCTCTACCTGCTATTGAGTCCCCTCCAGAACCTATTTTCTCTTTGCTCTCTGGCCAACATCCTCTATCGAAGTCCTTCTTGCTGCATATCCGTAGATATAACTCTATATTCCAAATGACATCTTTTGGTGCTAGACAAGTTGTGGAGCAAGGTTATATGCCTACTTTCAAAGTCCAAGGCCAAGTTTACCACGTAATTGGTAGTCTCCTTCCAGAACCTGATAGTGAGCACAAATTCCTGCAGATATACTTTTTCGATAATTATGAGTCTCAGGTTACTGCACGTTGCAACATGACAGAAAACTTGAACAGAGATTTAGTTCGCTCTTTGCAAGATTTATTGCATGCGCACAATCATTATATTCAATCCTTTAAAGCAGCCTTAGAAACTCTTCCTCAAAATCACGCTGACTACCGGATTATTATACACTCTGATAAGCTTCCACCAGAAGAGCATGAGCGTCGCTACAATGCGCCCATGACCAATGAAGTAGCTCTGCTGATGGTAGGTCAGGAATTTGGGCCAAGAGATATTTTATTACATTGTCGTAATAATTTGACACAAAGGATATCCGAGATCCATCAAGCATATGATCCTCTACAATACCCGTTAATTTTTTGCAGGGGTGAGGTCGGTTATTCTGTTTCGCTACCTCAAGTCAATCTATCCACTAGAGAAATAATGCAGAAGACTGTATCGTGCATGAATTTTTATGCTTACAGAATGATGGCTCGTGCTGGGGAATTTAACTCACTACTGCGTTATGGCATGCTTACAAATCAATTCTGGGTTGATATGTATGCTAAGGTTGAAACAGAAAGGCTTTCCTTCATACGGCGCAATCAGAAAAAGCTTCAGACAGAAAATTATATTCACCTGCAAGATGCTCTGCGAGCAGATGAGAATTTAGCCAATATAGGCCAAATAGTCATACTGCCATCATCATTTACTGGTGGTCCCCATTATCTGCATGAGCGTACCCAAGATGCAATGACTTATGTTCATAGCTATGGAAGGCCTCAGCTTTTTATAACATTTACATGCAACCCTCAATGGAAAGAAATTCAGATGCATTTATTTTCAAATAACTCTGCTAAAGATAGATATGATTTGCTTAGTCGTGTTTTTCACCTTAAAATGAAAAAGCTTATCTATTTAGTGACTAAGGCTGAGCTATTTGGGCCTTGCAAGTGTTTTATGTTCACAATAGAGTGGCAGAAGCGTGGTCTGCCACATGCGCATTTACTGCTTTGGCTTACGAACATAATTAGACCTAATCAAATTGATGAGGTCATACAAGCCGAGATTCCGGATATTAACTTAGACCCAGAGCTTCATGCAATTGTCATGAAACAAATGGTTCATGGTCCATGTGGGGTTCTGAATACAAATTCTCCATGTATGAAGGATGGGAAATGTAGCAAAAAATATCCTAAAGGTTTTTGTGAGACAACTTCGACAACAGAAGATGGTTATCCCCGATACCGAAGACGGTGCTCTGCTGAAGGTGGTCTTACTTCATCGGTGAATATGCGAGGAGTTACTTTTGAAATTGACAATCGCTGGATTGTGCCCTATAATTCTGTTCTCCTTTGTGCTTTTGATTCCCATATAAATGTGGAATACTGCAGCTCCGTGAAGGCCATCAAATACGTGTGCAAATACATTAATAAGGGAACTGATCAGGCAGTTTTCTCTTTGAATCACCTTGATGAGGTTACCCAATTTCAGTCTGGCCGCTATATAAGTTCCGCAGAAGCTGTTTGGAGGATTCTGGGTTTCAGCATCCATGAAAGATCACCTCCTATTGTACACTTAGCTGTTCACCTTGAAAATGGACAGAATATTCAGATAGATTTATTATATCAACATACTAGACTACAAACATTCCCTCGAGTAAAACCCGGGCGGAGCCGGGTACACCCGCTAGTCAAATATATAATTAAAATAATAATTTTAGAAAATACTTTTGTGTAATATATTTGATTTTTTCAGAATGTGTTTCATGATTAATTTTTAGTATAATATATTTGAACAAAGGAAAATTTACAAATACTAATTTAATCTAAGTGAATAAAATGCATTGGGAAGCAAATAATTTTAAAAATAAAGGAAAGGCTGAAAATTTTATTTTTAAAAATCATTATCTTTTAAAGAAATCTTTTATGGTTATTTGTTTTTTAACTAGAACTCTATTCAGTGTGCATTCTAGCTGATCAATCTTCAAAAGGCTTGTAGTCTTTCCTTTTAATTATTTCAAATGGGAAAACATTATTCTCTAAGCTACCACATTGTTTACTTCCATGACTACCGCTGCTTAAGAATTTAGGCCTAAATCATACAGGATTAAAAACAAAAATCGCCCACCTTTGGCACTGATATTTCCAACACATCATGACATTTTAAAAGCATAGTGCATATCGTCCCTACAACTGCAAACTATCGAATGTGAAAAATTCAATTTTGAAGGAGAGAGAAATGAAGAGACCATGTGGCCTACCCTCAGTAGAGGAAGGCATTGAAGGAGGGAGAAATGAAGAGACCATGTCATGGTCTCTTCATTTCTCCCTCCTTCAATGCCTTCCTCTACTGAGGGTAGGCCACATGGTCTCTTCATTTCTCTCTCCTTCAAAATTGAATTTTTCACATTCGATAGTTTGCAGTTGTAGGGTCGATATACACTAACTATGGCCGCAGTGCCCCGCGTGCCAACATATTCCATTTTTAGATTTTTTTTTTGTATTTAATCAATAATTATTTAATGTCAAAATTTTATTTTTAAAACGGTTGAATTATCGTTTGCTTGAATTGATCTTTGTTATTTGATAAGATGGTCACCAAGACATGAAAACATGGTCGAATTACCACGTGTCGAATTAACAAGGTCATACTGTCATTTATTTAGCTGGATTTGTTAGTTTCTTATCCAAATTGTACCTACCCTAAAGGTGTTTTAGTTTATATGAATTTTAATATACAGTAGAACCTCCCTGTAAAGGACACCTAATTGCAGAGCCAAAGTGTCCTTTAGGGAGAGGTGTCCTCTTACCGGAGAGTTGCTAAATTGTAAAAATGGTCATTTTGCAAATGAAAACTGCCCTTTGTGGAGAGGTGTCCGCTAAAGGGAGGTTCTACTGTACAGTGGAGTATTTTAAATATATAGGGACTTTAATGACTCTTGTACAGGCCTAACAATGGCACCAGTTTGAATGAAAGTAACCAAACATCATCTGTATAGTAGAACCTCCATGAGAAGACACCTCTCAACAAAGGACAGTTTTCATTGCCAAAGTTATCAATTTTCACGATTTAGTTGTTCTCCAGTATAAGAGGACACCTCTCTATAAAGAACACTTTGGCTCAGCCATTGGGTGTCTTTTACAGAAGGCTTCTACTGTACCATGTTCCCACTTGAGGAGCTAAGTATTGGTACCAGATTTTCTAAATGATCAAGAGTTGACTGTTTAAAGGATTTTATAATTTTACAAAGGTGTGTGTGGGTGATTGCTCATCATAGGTTTTGATGTGAGCTTTTTCAAAAGACTTTAATTGCTGTCCTATAAATTATTAGAGAAATGAGACTCCCTCACAGGAGTATGATACAACTCTGATTACCAGAACATTCTTCAGAACATTGGGAGAAGATTTGCTCTCTAGGGTGAAGTCTCACTGCTACCCTGATGGTAGAAAATTATTACTCACACATTACATAACCTTTTTTTTTTTTAAATAAAAGGTTATAAAAAAAAAAAACTAGATACCCCTTTTAACAGTAAGGTATAAAGGTTGACAATCCACCCAATACTGAGGTTGACCATTATTTCACCTTGGTACTTTATGATGCTATATATAACCAAGTTACAGTTATAAAAGGTTTCATTTTAATACATCTTCACTATTACTACACACACTGCTAGAGTACTACTACTAAAATAAACACTGCTCCAATGGCCCCCGATTCTTGCAAAAGTCCAACCCCACCAGAGAGTGCAAGTAACCAAACGGGGCGCTGGCACATTTGTAAGTGCAAAGTCGAACTGCTTTTCACATGTGTAGACATGTGGTGCACTTACAGTAAAAGCAGTCGCTAACTACTCACCATGATTACCATGGCCTGTACCACGTGTACTAGGGATAATAAAAAAAAAAAAAAAAACACTTTTGATAAAACAATATTGATTGGGAACACACTTACTCAAACAAAACTTGGGTAAAACAGGGTCAATTTTTTAGTGGAATAATATACAGTATAACCTTGTTAATTTGACACAATAATTTGACGCTTATACGATTTCGACCACGTTTTCATTTCCCGACCTCCAGCCTATAAAATCATGATGGTAAATTCAACCAAATGATAATTTGACAGATTTTTAAAATCAAATTTTGACAACATTAGATAATTCTTGTTCAAATACAAATTTATTGCTAAAAATACCATACTTTGACACGAAGGGCACAGCTGCCGTAGTTAGTGTACCTTCACTGTGCTTAAAAGTATTTACAATGCAACATTGCAAATATCAGTGCCGACATTCACAGGCATTTTTGTTTCCTTTTAGACAATTTAGGTCTTACTTAAGTGCCTGCTAGTCACCGGAGTAAACAATGAGGTGTCTTAGTTCTTCTATTTGAAATAACATACAGAAGAGAGAGGAAAGACAATACAAGCCTTTTGAAGATAGCTAGAATACACTAAATAGAGTTGTAGCCTAAAAGTAAACAACCATAAAGGATTGGCAAACCTTTATACATTACTGTTAAAAGGGGGTATCTAGTTTTTTTAACCTTTTATTTGAAAAATAAAAAGGTCATGTAATATGTGTAGCAGTGAGTGTGTTCTAAGACCTTGCTCTAGAGACAAATCTTCTCCCAATGTTCTGAAGAATGTTCTGGTGATCAGAGTTGTATCATACTCCTGTGAGGGAGTCTCATTTCTCTAATAATTTATAGGACAGCAATTAAAGTCTTTTGAAAAAGCTCACATCAAAACCTATGATGAGCAATCACCCACACACACTTTTGTAAAATTATAAAATCCTTTAAACAGTCAACTCTTGATCATTTAGAACTTACTGGGACATCTGGTACTAATAAAGAATATTGTTGAGAGATATTTATCATTAATACAATTTTTAGCTTTTTCTTTATTTTCTAAACTTATTCACTTTCTTCCCATTGTATTTATTCACTTAAGTCAAAATAGTATTTGTAATTTTTTCTTTGTTCCAAAATGTATTCATGTAATTTTTATCCATCACTAAAAGTTAATCTCTCATGAAATATTCTGGAAAAATTAAATAAAGTTTCCCATTGTTATCAAATCATCCCATTATTAATTAAAATATATTACAAAAGTATTTTCCTAAAAATATTTCAAGTATTTATTTGGTTTTCTTGTAGAGAAATGTTCACTAGCAGTGAATGCGCGCTGTGATGAAATCATCTAACAAACTTTTAATTCAACACTTACTTTAATTCAAACAAAAGCTTGGATCCCTTGGAATGTTGAAATAAAGAGGTTGGACCGGATTGCTCAAATGGTAAAATGTATGGGTGCTTTTTTTGTAAGTGCAAATTCGAACCGCTTTTCACATGTGCTGCACTTACAGAAAAAGCAGTCGCCCACTTCTTCCCACCATGATTATCATGGCCTGTACCACATGTACTAGGGATAAGCAAAAAAAAAAATGGTGCTTTTGAAGAGTGAATCCACAAACCTACCTATATTTGAATGGGCAATTTTAAAAAGTATATTAGAGACAAGAATTAAAAAAAGGAACAATCCTAGTACTTTGGTCAGATGATGAAAGCAACTACAGTAAAATGTCCCATGGAGTTGGCCTAAAAACATGGCTAAACATCAATGCCATGGGAAGTCTCAACCAGAAGCCTCTGATGAGAGACCATCTCCAGGCAGAGAGGGAGATTTTTGGCCAAAAATGTAAACATCATTGCATAGAATTCTCATACCACTTTATAAACATTGCACACTACACATAGCACAATTAAACTATTTCATTTAAAAAAATATAAACTTTCTTATTAATACTTTTGTATTTAGTAACCTTTATATTCCTCTCATTGGTTGTGACGTCACGGTGACGCCCGATGTAAACAAAGGCTATGATTGGTTCATTGTTTTTTTTTTAAACAAGATTTAATTTTTAATATTTTAAATACCTGTGATTAATTTATATTGTCACTATATATTTTTTGTCTAAATGGCCTTCTATTTTAAATTAGAATTTTTTTTTAAATAATTTAGCGTAATTGTAAACACGTGTGTGTTATGAATACACGCGATGTTAATACCTTGAAAGTAATGGTGTCAGATATTTCAAACTATTATAAAATTAATTAATATTAAAATTTTGTATATAATTTAGGTTAGGTTTAAGTTAGGTTTGGTTAGTTTAGGTTAGGTTCAGGTTCGTTTAGGTTCAGGTTTGGTTAGTTTAGTTTAGGTTAGGTTCGTTTATATTAATTAATATTAATTTTGTAATTTTAATTTTCATTTTTTTTTGTATATGCCTATTTATAAGCCTAATATATGGAATGTATTACGCCAGTATTTCTTTGTTTACGTTAGCGCTAAAACACAATTTAAAAATTGCTAATATAAAATAATAAAAATTCCTTTATAAATATAGTGACAATATAAATTAATCACAGGTATTTAAAATATAAAAAATTAAATCTTGTTTAAAAAAAAAAACAATGAACCAATCAAAGCCTTTGTTTACATCGGGGGTCACCGGGACGTCACAACCAATGAGAGGCTTAGTCTCAGATTGGGCCAAATGTCGAGGGGTCACCCAAATTTTGAAAAATCTAATGCCACGTGGGTTAAGTAGGTTACTTTCAGATGGGTTAAATTAAGTTAGTTTCAGATAGGTTAAATTAAATTAGTTTCAGATAGGTTAAATTAGGTTAGTTTCAGATGGGTTAAATTAGGTTAGTTTCAGAACTGTGTAAAATTAGTAACAAAGCTGTTACTGAAACATCACCCACTATTTGATCTTATTACCTTGTGTTTTGTTAGAAGAGGTTAAGTTTGGTTAGGTCAGAAAATATCATCAATATCATTGATGTTTATGGTTGGCTGCATTTGTCAATTAGAATTACATCAATGTAATAATACCTGGCAGGTAGAGCAGTTTAATTCACAAATACCACTGCTGTGTGAGGAAAATGTCAGAATATTGTAACAATTAATGGCCAACCTTCAAATTAAAGATGACACTTGAGGATATTCAATTCAAAATTGTATTCTATTAAACATTTTGCTAAAGTAGATTTATTTATAAGTCATGTGTTGAGCCAATATTCTAGTTTATTCAAATGTTCATTCAAAGAATCTATATGTATAAAATACATTTAAAACTGAGAGGCGCCTCAAGACCTGTGTATTCTAAATCAGACATACCTTATCATGGCCACAGTATGTAATCATGGCACCAAGTCTAAAGACCTCCCTTTATAACCCAATGCTGTTAAAGAATCTTTAATTTATACTTACACAATATTGTGAGATGTCTATGGCCACCAATTTGTTAAGCCAAGGCCTTGTTCATTCATTTTTCCGGTAATTGAATAACAGCTTTCTTGAGTTTCTTCTAGATCTTTTTCATCAGGTGAACAGTCTTTAAAATTTTCATTGAAAACAACAAAACGTATTGGATCATCATGTGACATGTACATTTCATGTTCACCGTTATAATCATCTTTATATAACCACTTCCACATTTGTTTTTCTTCATCATATAATGATGGCTCTGGAAGATATTCTGCTGGTACAAATATATCATCAAAAAAGTTCAATGTTATATAAATGCCTTTTTTACTGTAACTTTTAATCTTGCCAATAATAAGTTCACCTATATATGGTCGAAAGACTATCATGGTAAAAATAGTTTCAACATGTATGTAGCTATCGCCTGGAAGTATATTGGCATCGCCTGTTTCTAAAATGTCATGAACTCTAATACATAATCCAACATTTAAAATTACTTTGTTTGCCATCATTTTATTTATTACTTGGGTGAGAGCTTCTTGAATGTCCATATTAAACATCCAAGGAGGAACTTTAACAATGTCCTTTATTTTGCGAAGGACGAACATTTTTATAAATTAAATCAAAATTTTATTATTTAAAATATAATAAAAGTATTAAGAATTTTATTATTTAAAATATAATAAAAGTATTAAGAAATATTACGCGAAAACACTACTAAAACCCACGTCGCTTTAAAAACACAATATTTTTAAAATACAGCAAATTTCAATTCTTTATAAAACAGGAGCTCGAAATTTGAATAAAAAAATCACTCTGTGAATTTTATTTTATTTGAATGGGGAATCACAAACTATAAAAACTGCAACGTTTTTTTTTTATTTAATAAATTTGCGTGTTTAAAAATTATGAATTATGTAGACAATATTACCGCTTTTTTAGCAATACGCGTTAATTTTTTATTATAATAAAATAACCTTAATAATAAAAATTTTGAAAATAAAATAAAAGAAAGGCATTGTGTGATAGTACAAGTAGTAATATTGTCTAAATTCCAGGTGTTCCGCCTTCTCCACATTGGTCAGTCCGACCAGAACCTGGCCGGACGTTTTCATGAACTGAATGAACAATCCCTTCTCCTCCAAGGCCTTCATGAAGCATACAGGATGAAGGTTGTTGGGGTACCAACAAAGCAGCATTCATTGATCGAACGACGCTATCTGCTGCTGACTGGTGTTTTTAACGAAGATCACAGAATTCTTTGTATTTCATAGCTGTCCAGCAGGCCTGGGAGTTCTGGTTTCATACCTGGCGATTTTGGTTGGTTGGCTTTTATGATTTGACCCTTTCCTTTTATTTTGTTTTACTGAGATAAATTTGGGCTAAATCGATCCTCTTTCAAAATTTCCTGAAGTATACTTGAGCGTGGCCATGGCCAGTTAGGATGGTTATTGAAGTGCACTCATGTTAGATCCTTGGAAGCATAGAGATCAAAATTCTTGGCGTAAATCTTCTGAGATTGTTAGTTGCGTAATCCATGATGTAAAGGTTTTACGATAGATTTTATGATTCTAAGTTCTTTCATGTGGGCAACGGACAAGAAGTGTGAAGGAGATTGAAACGGAACTGGAGAAAGAATCTCCATCGTCGGAAGAAATAAGGGCAAAAGATTAGGTGAGGTTGATGCCCAAGTAGAGGACATAATGTTAGCTGACGAGTCAGTTACATCCCAAGATTGGCGTGACTGAAATAAAAGTCAATGAATACCTTAAAGCCAGAGAGATTGGACAGAAGATTACGGGCGAATGGGACTCTGCTAAAACGGGTCAGGAGGGTTTGGCAGCGTGTAGACTACCAAAGATATCCCTCGCAATATATGACGGTACATGTCTTGATTGGCTGGGATGGTGGTCTCAATTTGAGACGATTCATGAAAACCCGGGGAATATCGGAGGTAGCCAAGTTCCGATATCTGATGCAATCAATAAAAAAGGGGACTCGAGCGGAGAGATTAGTGAGGAGTTATCCTCTGACCAAAGAAAACTACCCGAAAGTAATAAAAGCATTGAAAGACCGCTTCGGCGACAGTACCATCCTCACCGAGGTTTATGTCCGACAACTATTGAAATTGGTTGTTAATAATGTAAGAAGGAAAAGCTTATCCCTGGAAAGTATGTACGACCAATTGGAGTCCCATTTAAGATCTTTGGGGTCACTAGGGGTGAATATCCAGCAGAATGCCTACTTCTTGTATCCAATGGTAGAATCGAGCTTGCCCGAGGACCTGTTGAGAACCTGGCAAAGGAGTGCGCTGGCAGGATATGATGTAGAAGATGGGGAGCTACCGCCAACAGTTGACAAAAGATTAACCTCACTCCTGGAGTTTGAGGAGGGAGGTCAAGCGTGAACAAAGGTTGGGCTACAT